AAGTGGGGGAGAGGCTCGGAAAGCCCTTTCCTCCCAGGTCTCGGATGTGAGACCAGTTTCGCTGCGGAAACAGGTGGAATCCTTTATGGATACCAAGCTGAGCATTGTCAGCCGGGTCTGCGATGCCATGGCAGCGGCCCAAGATAAACAAAAGGAGTACTCAGACAAACATGGAAGAGGAAACTTAAGTATATTTGAGGTTGGTGACTTAGTGTTGCTAGACACGAGGAACCTACCTCTAGACACTGTTAGCTCTGTCGGCAGCAACAAACTGAAGCACCGCTTCATCGGACCATTTGCAGTCCTGGCCAGACATGGTGCGTCGTACACCATCGACCTGCCAAAGTCAATGACGACGCACCCGACCATCTATGTTGGACGTCTTAAGTGGTACTTTGATCCGCAGGGGGTGGCTGACTCGCAGACCCACCTTGAACCAGCTCCCCGGAGCGGGGGCCAGTCACAGACGTCGACGACGGCGTCGGAACAGGCACCCAAGCCTCGGTCGGAACGGCAAGGCTGCGATCAAGACCGGGGACTCCATACGAACGGACCCCGGCGCCATACGCCGAGTACGCTGAGTACGCCGGGTACGCACCATACGCGTACGTCTGGGAGTGTGCCGCAGGCGGCTCCGGACGTGGCAACAAAGCCTCGATCCGTCGGATCATGCGAAAGGCCTCGCCCAGATCGGACGAAGAGGCCCGGCGATCCACCCGCAGGTGCAGGCTCGCGACCTCTCGCTCCAACAGGTCCAGGCGGCCCGCAAGACGAGCGAGCTCGCCCTGATTCCCGGCCTGGGCGGCAGCATCACCGCCAGTCCCAAGGCCAAGTGCAATTTCAAGTACGAGGACACGTTGACTGAGGCGGTCAACCTCAGGGCCCTGTGTCGGACCCGCAGCCGGAGCACTCGGACGAGAGTGGATTCCGGGAGGCGCCGAGTACTCGTACTCGTACGAGGGCACCTCCGCCCCTGCTTGACCGGAATGGAGAAGTCCACTTCCACGTGGAGCTGATCCTCCAGGAGCAACGGCGTCGCGGTAAGCGACAGCTCCTCGTGAAGTGGAGGGGTTATGCCCACTCCGAGAACTCGTGGGAGCCGATTGAACGGCTCCTGATTGACTGCCCGAAGGCTGTCGCAATCTGGGAACAGAAGCGGCGGCAGCTTCATAAGTAGTCCGGGGCTTCTTGCCCGAACGGGGTACGGACGATAAATACATACCGTACCCGCGCTCATCGTGAGCGCTAGAAGCCGCGCGCTTCAGGATGTCCCTTGGCAGCATACGCTTGCTGATCAAGTGGGCAAACCTCACACGAAGATCACGCTGGTCCAGGATGTGGGACAGCTGCTGATCTTCATGGAGTTCCCGTAACTCCGTGGGTGAGTACTTGAGAGTCTCCACCCACGCCCAGAACATGTCCTCACAAGAACTCCACGTGGGCCAGTTCTCGGGCATAACCCAGGGGTATCCCCAAACAGGATAGAGACCACCCCGGGTCTCGGGCTTCTTACGACAAGTCGTGAAGTCCTTAAGGGGAATGCGGTGTTGCGCGAGAAGCACACACCGAGCAGCCTCCAAGTTGTCGACGAACAGCTGTTCTTTCTGAACAAGGGCTCGTTCGTAGATGCCCCTAGAAGTGTGGCCGCCCACAAGGCCACGAGGAGCGACGAGAAGCTCTAAGAAGAGGTCAGCCCCAGAGCTCTCCTCGGGAGGCCAATACCCTCTTGAGTTGATGGCTGACGGGTGCCACCACCGAACCCCCACGCACACGCTGGGCAGCTTGGAATTCCTCCTGCTGTTGGTCGAGGTCATTCGAGACCTCCCGGGGTTCAGCGATAGCACCCTCCTCCTCTTCTTCCTCCTTCTCCTCCTCTTCATCTGAGGAGTCGAAGATACTCTGATAGGAGTGTTGAGTCTCCTTCTCCTTGCGGAGTGGAGACTTAGAGGCTGTACGCTTCTTTGAGGGCTTGGCGCCTTCGGCTTTGGAGGCCTTAGCACGCGCAAGACCCTCGGCAAGCGAGAGACGTTTGCGAGGATTCCCTTCCTCATCGCCACCGGCTTTGGGAGTGTCCTTAGCCTTGACGGCCGGACTCTCAGAGCGCACAGAGGTCCTAGGACTGTGATCACCTTGATCACTAGCGGGCGACTGCACGCTGTCATCTTTGTGTTCACTGGGCACTGGGTTGTGCCCTCCCACAGAGCCCGCAGGAGCATCATGCGTGCTCTTGGCTCGGCATCGTCCTCACTGCCAGAGCTGAACTCACGTTCTACGAACCGAGGGTTCGGACGATTGTCTGAAGATGAGGGCGACGGGCTGCGGCGCTTGCTTGCTCGCTTGCCCACAGCCGCGTCACCCGAGGAATTGATCGCCTCGGAGGCCACCAGTAGCCTCCTTGAGTGCCGAGTTTTTGCCGTGAGGCTTAGTGGTCTTGGCTTGCGCCTTACCGGCAGCAGCCTTAGAGCGTGTCTTAGCACCGCTCTTTGCAGCGCCACGAGGCATGGTAACGGTCGAATTGGAGACCTAGACGAAGAGCGCACAGGTTGCTGCTCGAGGCTCTAACTGTGAAGTGAGCCTCCGCCGCGCTCGCGCGGCCAAGTCGATGGTTTTCGACTTTGAGAATGAGAGTTTGTGACGAACACCTCTTCATTCTGATTGGTCGGTAAACCGAACCTAAGTGGGGGAGGATGTAACGGGGTACGTAGCCCTAAGTGTACCCTGGTTACATGAAGTGTGACACTTCACACTTCAGGAGTATGACACGTCATACTCCGAGATATTTGGTACAAGGTACCAAGGTCGTTCAAAGCCAACCATTGGTTAAATGACATTGCATTTCTATAGGTAACTAACAGTTTGTATTAAACCCAAAACTTAACCTACCTATAAATATACTCAGTTTACAATCTACCTTATTTAGGTCACTTCGCTCTCTTTAATTAAAAAGGGGACCTGTGAACTGCCGTTCACTGAGAGTTTGCATACTCTCGGAAGATAACTTCCTCTAGCGCAAGGTGCTGTGTGACCCCGTCACAGTTTGTGACGAGCACCTCTTCATTCTGATTGGTCGGTAAACCGAGCCTAAGTGGGGGAGGATGTAACGGGGTACGTAGCCCTAAGTGTACCCTGGTTACATGAAGTGTGACACTTCACACTTCAGGTGTATGACACGTCATACTCCGGGATATTTGGTACAAGGTACCAAGGTTGTTCAAAGCCAACCATTGGTCAAACGACATTGCATTTCTATAGGTAACTTATAGTTTGTATTAAACCCAAACTTAACCTACCTATAAATATACTCAGTTTACGATCTACCTTATTTAGGTCACTTCGCTCTCTTTAATTAAAGAGGGGACCTGTGAACTGCCGTTCACTGAGAGTTTGTATACTCTCGGAAGATAACTTCCTCTAGCGCAAGGTGCTGTGTGACCCCGTAACAGCAGCGAACCCGGGACCTGGCTGCTGAGTGTCTACAGGTAGCACACGGCACTGTTACGACTGTGACGCACCTACAGAGCCGACAATGAGATGTGCACATCAGCAATTTAGCGGTGCATGTTCTTATCAGCTATATAGCGTTAACCTCTACTATTTTATATGTGAAGTTAAAGCATGGAAGGAAGCGTGAAAACGACCGAGCGAAGCGGAAGATAAGGTGCCTGTTTAAATAAATATTTGGTTTTTCCTTGCTATCAAATAGTTACAATCGTAATCGGATTTGCTGCTGTTCAGTTGCGTACTTTCTAGTACTTTCCTGTGCAAATCCATGTGGTTTGGGAATTGCCCAATCAAATGACCGCCTGAAAGGCAACCCGTTTGTCTAGAAAAAGTTTTAAAGTAGTCTTGTAGCGCAAAAATGACTGCGAATCAGCTAATTCTGACCACATTTTTGAAATCTACACCCGATTTTACCCCTTATATCAAACTGTTACTAAAGGATTTGGTTTGTTGAATCCTCATAGCATATGGCTACATTCTGGTCCAAGGAGTACAATACGAAGTATTAGCTATTTTAAAAATGCATGTTACTTTTAATACTTGAGTGCTAAAGCGACGTATTATCCAGATGAGTTAATCATAACTGGCACAGATTAGAGTGTCTAATGACTCATTCTGAATCAGCACAAAATGAGCGCTAAATGTCTTAAAATGTACAAAATTGAATATTTTTTTTGGTTTCATGGAGTTTGGTATGGGTAGTGATCAATCTTTAAGATTAAGCAGGCAGTACAAGCGGGTAAGTAGTGCAAGCTGACACGCCATTACTATCTTTTGCGTTGATGTGAGCTAAGTTTCATGGCTCAGAAACGGCCCGTGGTATCGAGCACGACGCTAAACTAAACATATTGTGTAGCATTTGTATAAATGTTATTTGAAGTGCAGGTGGTTTTGGGTGGAAGATGAAGATACAGTGATAGCTTCAATAACAAATAGTTTGTAGTAAGAATCTTGATTCAGGATCATTAGAATGATTATTTTAATCAGGAAAGCATCATGATGCTGACCCAGATTACTTAGGCTCTAAAAATGAAATTAAAAATATCGAGGCGCATAGGCTCTTAGGCTCTATCTCTAATAAGTATTACAAAAAGCTAACAACAAACACGGCCTTATTATCCCGCTGAAGCGTAGCAGAGTAGAACTAAACCTAATCTACCGCCGCGTAGCGGCGGCGCTAGGCTAGTTATTGAATTGGACTAATGTTGTTATACTACGTGAAACGGATGCAGCGTCATGATCCCAGCAAAAATAGGCAGTCTCCACCAGCGCCTCAGCAAGGCCGCGAACTGTGGACGTTTGCGTTTTCGTGGCCCTCTGTCTGTCTTGTCCTCAGCACTCAAGTGGATGCTATCATGGTCAAGCTCGAGTGGCCAGGGCTGTCCGAGCTTCGAGATCACGCGGTGAGTGGCGTCGTTCTCCCTCGTGCCCCGGTGCACGATGCTCTCGAGAATCGCATTGTGCGAGACGCAGAACGAATCGGCCTGTCGAATCTTCCGATGCCTCCGCGAGCCTCAATTATCCCGAGTTTATCTCAACGCTTTACCCGTGCAATTCAAGTGCTGCCCAAGTCAACTGAAGGCGGACGTGATCAGCATCGAACGCGAGCTGGCAGACGGAGATTGAGGCGACAATTCTTGGTTGTTCTCGTTGAACGATTCAAAACGTGGCTTGTGGCTTGGAAAAGGTGGTGTACAAAGACAAATCTCTTGGCAGCTGCGAGTTTCATGGATTCGCTGTACATCTTAGTGAGTGACACTCACTGAGTGTACCTTTGCGTGTGGGGTTCTTGTTTGATCCTTGGCAAGAGGCTGTGGGTCTCAATGTCTGGAAGCCTGGGATTATCATATTCACCATTGCGGACGTGACTGGGAGTTTTTTGCGCGTTTGGAGCTCGCGTGTGCATTTATCTGTAGGCATACGACTCCTGCTCAAGCTCAAAATGAGTCAGTCCGAGCTAGCCTCCCCACGAAAAGAGGATGGAGAAGATGACGAAGAAGAAATCAAAACAAATGCCAACAGCAATCGCAGTATTCGAAGCACCACGAGCAGTGGGGAGGGGAGAATCCTTCCTGATGGATGGATAGCGTGGCTGGTGCTGGTGTCATACTACATCCCCTGGGAGCTTCTGGTGCTCGTCATCTTACGTGGCCAACGCATCAACATCCTTCACGTGTTTGGACTGTTTCGTCTTCTTGCAACCCACAACCGAATCGACTCTCAACTTGCTGCAACGATAGGCGGCATCCCGCAGAAACTATCGTCGGGAACAGTAGCAAACTTGCTCGTTCTCTTCGTTTATGGCGTATTTTTTTGCCATGTAACAGCGTGCGGGTACATGCTGGTAGCACACTGGGAATGTGGATTGGAATTCAGGGGGTGCGCCTCGACTGGTTGCTGGGTGCTTCGAGATCATCTTGAGAGTGGCTCATATTTCCGACAGTACGTTCGATCGCTATATTGGGCCTGCAAGACTGTGGTAACGCTGGGTCAGGGGGACCTTATCCCAGTCACATTAGTTGAAACTGGTTATCGGATTGTGGTTCAATTCTTTGCTGGCCTTTGGGTCACCGCCATTCTGACAGCATACACTTTTTTCTTCGCCCACAAAGATGCAAATCTGACTAGCAACACTAGCACTCGTCTTGATCAAGCATTGCAGGTACGAAACCTATCTTAGTCCAATTATTCATGAGAGCTTTCGGTTTTACTGTAGTCGAAATTCTTTTGCTTTCATGCAGTTTCTAATGGCTCGAAAGGCCCCAGCCCAACTAGTGACTTCAGTGGACACTTACTTCCAGTACATGCAGCGCACCCGCAATGGCGTTGAAGAAGAACTCATCCTAGCAGCTTTGCCGCCCCATTATCGAACACAATGCTCACACTACGTGCGCTACAAAGCCATCGCACCGCTGACGATTTTTCAACGACGGAAAGGTGCTTTCCTCCGCACTGTGATGGAGGCGTTAGTGCGAGATGTGTACACTCCAGGCCAAACACTGCTGCAACCTGGAGACACAGACGAGATGTTTATCATGGCGTGTGGTGAAGTACGATTGATTGATGTGCGTGGAGTCTGCATTGGCCGCATCACGGCGGGGAATGCGTATGCGGAGTATGCGTTGTTTGAACGCCACGTGGCCTGGAGGCAGCAACTTTCTGTGAAGTTTGGTATCTGCCGACAAAAGCGTTTAAGGCTGCGTTGACAAAGCATTTTACCAAGCTAGTGTACGCTTCGCTGTTACTACAGCAGTTTGGCACCAAGCCAGCGACGCGCCATGGCGATGTGGCGTCAATGAAGACACAAGCACGCCAGTCCAAAGTCTTAGGCCACGGAAGTTTACTGTTGCAGGCTGTCGAGGCTCGAAGACTGCGTGGCGCCGCTGCTGCAATTGCCGCTGACTCTGCCAGCTTAAACCCTGATCGTACATTATCCAGCACTGTCGCACAGTTACTTGTCGCTAAAACTGCTGCGTGGCGGATGCCCAACTCAAAGTTTCGACAGCAATGGGCTCTGACAGAGTGTATTTTCATGATGTATCTACTCGCCGAGGTACCGTATCATCTCGCTTTCCAACGTGGCTTTGGACTTTTAAATGGCGTCGCGGGGGTGCAAAGTGACGGAACGACACCTCGGAGTGTTCAAGTGGCAACGTTTCTGCTTTCTTTGATTGTGGAGACTTTTTTTTGCGTGGACATCATGCTGAGAGCCCTTTACTTTGTTAAGCCATTTCCTGGAGTCGAACTGGATGATGAATTTCTAGGAACTTCCACCCACAAACTGGAACCCGATGCAGCTCTCGGGTCGCCAAAATTTTCACTAGCCACGCGCCGGTCACAGATCTTCCAGCTCTATCTGCAGCACGAGAGTCTCATGCTGGAGATTGTCGCTCTTGCGCCTGCTGCTTTAATCTGGGATATTTTACCAAAAGAGGTGTTTAGTCGACGTAGCATTCACCTGTTCAGGTGTTTGCGACTCTTACGATTATTTCGAGTACGAAAGCTACGCGGTAAACTTCATGGAGTTTTAGCAGGCCGTGGCTATGGCTCAGCACTTCGACTTTTGGCAGAAATTGTGGTGTTCTGCTCGGCAGCATCTCACACAGCCGCGTGCATTTTCTTTGCTATAGCGGACAGAACATCTTTCGAGGGTGGGTTGCCAGTCAACGGCGTGGCAACGAGGTCCCTTTCACCTTCTACGTGTTTGGAGGATGCAAGCCGCTTCGATAACTGCACGTGGTACATGTTCGATCGTAGTACGTTCGAGTTGGATGCCCCATACTTGCGCTCAATGCTTTGGAGTATTGTCGTGTTGTCTACTGTCGGATTTGGGGATATCGTGGCGTTTTCAACGCGAGAATGCATTGTAGATGCACTCTGGATCTTCTTTGACGCAAATATCTGCTACATCACGAGCTGCGCGCTGTCGAGTGTTTTAGCGCAGGTTAACGTGTTGAGTACAATCCGTCACGACCGCATCGAGGGGATCAATGTGCTATTGATGAGTCCTAGTATGGCGTCTGTGTCGGATGCTACGAAACGCACTGTCCGAAGTTATTATGAGGCAAAGTGGAAACTCAACGGAAGCGCTGTGGGCGATCTGGAACTGCTCGAGTACCTTCCTCGCTCATTGCGTCGTGCAATAACCTCGCAATTATATGCTCCAGATTTGCGCCGCTGCGCTCTTTTTGTCGAAGAATGTGGGCTACGATCGTCCAGTGCTATTATAATGGAGATGCAGCTTTATTCATGCAACAACTAGCGCTGACCATCACGTGTGAACATTTTTTGCGAAATGTGACAGTTATTAAAGAAGGCCTTTTGGCCACCGAGTTTTTTGTGATCCTTAGTGGCGAACTTGAGTGCCTTCTGCCCCCAGTTCCTCTTGAAGATATTATGACTCCAAGTTACAAATTGGTATCCGCAAGTCGCATGGCTAGGAAGTCGATTCACCTTGCGGCTACCGCAGCTTTGAGACGAACACGTGACAGCGCTCGAATGGCCAGAGATTTCACAACTTCGACACTGCAGGGCAATCGGTTAAAAGACGGGGTGACGGCTGTAAGACCCTTTATCCGACCGCGGTTTCCGGCCGTAGGTGAAGAAGGTCCCACCGCACGATCTCGCTCTTCCGCTACATCGCGTTCCTCCGTCATTTCTTCGCATTCTATGCTGAAGGCTCAGCTCTGTGAGACGCCAAGTGAGCGCCATCCCAAACTTTTTCGCTTCGGTAGTTTCAAAAGTGCATTGAAAGACCCCACTGCTACTGATGCAGCCCCCGTGCCAATCTCTGTGCTAGGGACCCACGACTACTTTGGAGAGGAAAGTTTAGCTGATACTGCTAAAGTCTACGAGGTCACAATTCGTGTCGTGTCAAGTGCACGGGTAGCAGTGATTCGACGTCGTGACTTCTTGGCTTTATCGTCACGTTTCCCTCATTATGTTGCCAGACTTCGAAGCCGAAAAGCTGAACTGCGAGAGAAAACTCGGAACTTGGTGCGAGCCCATCGTGCTAATTTTCAGGGTCAAAGTAACAAGAAAATTGGACGTGTACTGGGGACTTGTACGTCACTTTATGTGGACAGCAGCAAGTCTAAACTCGAGAAACGCGGCGCGCATGTCCTGGATCCAACCAAAACGTTTGCTCGCTGGTGGCACCGCTGTATTGGGTTAATCCTTGTGTACAATTTCTACGTCATCGTGTTTCGATTGGCATTCCTCCCGTATCCTGACGCTATGACAATGGTGTGGTTCACTGGAATCGACTATGTACTTGATGCACTGCTTTATGCTGACGTGCTCCTTAAATTTGGACATTTGGGTTTCCTTGAGTTTGGTGAACCTATTCTAGATCCTCAGTCAATCAAACAGCACTACCGAGCTAGTGGTCGTTTGTATCAAGATTGTCTGGGGATGATTCCTCTTTACTATCGTGGCGACACGTTTGGTATGACTGCTGCTCGATTGCCACGCCTTTTACGGTGTCTTCAGCTTGGAGAACTGCTTCAGGAAGTCCATACGGAAATCCAAGAGCGATTCTTACGTGGCAATGCGGTGCTGTTGAGCGTCTTCGACTTGGTCAAGTTTTTCCTGATCTTTGTGTCGACCGCCCACTACATTGCCAGTTTGTATTACCTTCTAGGCTGGACACAACTCGAAACAGGATTAGTGACAACGAGTTGGATCTCCGTGGACCTGGTGCTAAGGCAAAACCCCAATAGCGCGATGGTACATTACATGCGCTCAATGTACTGGTGCCTCTCCGCCGTAAGTGACACACGTTTGACTTTTCCTTGTTCGACTGATCGCAGATGGTCTAACCACAAGTTGATGCTTGCAGTTTACAGCTGATTGCTTCGGTGATATTCTGGCTAGAAACTTCCTCGAGTCCTGTTACGAATTGTTCACGTGTGTACTTGGGTGGGTTTTCATCGGCCAGGTTATTGGTCGTATTAACGCGTTGATGATCACACTCGATAAAACGCAAAAGCAACGAAAAGATCGTGTGGAGGATTTCCAGCAATATGCATAACAACGAGCGCTGCCCAATCGGTTGCGACAACGTGCCATGAAAGGCCTGGCTGTCAAGGCGCAGTATCAATTGGAACTAGACTTGCATAAAACTCTCCGAGACTTGCCTGCTGCGTTGCACGCTCTTGTAGCTATCGAATTGTACAGTGGACTATTACAACCTTTACCTGAATTTGCACCTCTGAGTCGAGCTCAGCTGGAACTGGTGGCGCGTGCCTTAGTTCTCGAGATTTATTTGCCTGGTGATAATATTTGTGAAACCAATCGCATGGGAACTCGACTCCATATTTTGAAGCACGGGTGCGCTGAACGTGTAGCACCAGGAACAGGACTTGTGTATGGAGCTCTCACAGATGGGGCTTTGTTTGGCGAGTTCGCTTTCTTTATCCCGGGCGCAAGACGACTCTTTCTAGTTCGTGCAGTACGGAGTTGTCAAGTTCTTCAGCTTCACCGACGAGTCTGGGATCGTCTTTGGCCCCCTGCCATACGGGCACAAGTGGAACAGTCGGTACTTGCAGTAGTGACGCGCATGTACAGGCGAACTGCGTGGGGATTTTGAACATTGCCAAGAATTTCTACATCAAGAACGACTCACCCGTTCCCTCATTGGGCCCCACACGTCCATCCATCGCTTCTAGTCAGCCAATTCCTTTTCTAAAAAGTGCCAGCAATTCAAGAGAACCCCGTCCAGTAGCTTCTAGACGCACCAATGGCAGTGGAGCAACGGCATTGCTTCCACCTGCAATACGAACACCGGTAGTCTCATTCCGCAGGCGGCTCTCGGCTTCAGATACTTCCCGCATATCGGCGAATGCTGATACAATGAATTCCTATCGTGACGTACTGGAGTCGTTTCGAAGTACCCGTGAAAACAACGTAGCCCCAAATGCGTCCGCTGAGGTTTCACATATGATGGTGTCAGCATTTAACAACGCCGTAACACCATTACTACCAAATTCCATAGCGATGGAGAAGTCGTTATCTCCGCTTGCCAGGCTGTCTGCAGATACCGAGTTACGCTGGAAAAAACACGAAAAGCGTCTTCGCGCTATCCAACTATTCTACGTGACCTGGGGGCATGTGCGAGACGATTTACGACGTCTCCGCGAGGCTGAGGGGGGTACACGGAGAGTGACGCAGCGACGGGTTTCAATATGCGTGTTGCCATCATACAGCAAAACGCGAGAAGATCATCTCAAGTACATCACCGCGAAGGCTCGGGCTCCTATAAAACGGCGACACTCGATCCAGTCGGATCCTGTTGATCAGCGGTCGAAATTCATGCTGTCTCCATCGGAGGTGCGTATTCTGCAAGATCGCATGGGCTCTCTTGATAACAAGACCCGTCCAGCGTACCCTACAATGCTAGCTCAGACAGCTACCTCACGGACACGCTCTATCCGAATTGCAAAATCTTTGTGGTCGCGGTGGAAGCGGCATATGAGATCCGAAAAAGTGACTCCGTTTGTCTCGACGACCAAAGCGACTGAGGCACTTGCCGTTCTGAGCTCTCCGTACTCAATTTGGGCTGCGCCAACTCCTCGAACAGCTCGAATCGAACAAAATTCACGCTTCCGTGACGTATGGGCTTCAATAATGCTGATCGTAACACTCTACTACCTGATTGCGATCCCATTGCAAATTGGTTTTTTGGATGGCGTTTTAAATCAGACCCAGCACGAATCAAGTGTGATTGCCTGGTTTACGGCCGAGTATCTGATGGCAGACGTTGCATGTGTGGTCGATTTTATTCTGCATCGCAATTATTTCGTGTATCAAACCAGCAATGGGGAGTCCGTGACGGATCCAGAGCGTATCGCTCGGCATTATTGGCACCACGGTTGGTACTTGGTGGATGTGCTCTCGATTCTACCAGTGGAGTTGATCATGCTAGGGCTTGTAGTGGGTCTCCGTGAAGCGGGTTACGCTCCTCCGCCTGCCACAACGTCTCAGTGGCCACTTCTGTTCTCTCCGCTGGGTGGACTCGTTAATTGGCACACGTTTGCTTTCTTGCGCATTAACCGCTTTCTGCGTATCGTACATCTTCGACCACTGAGCGATCGATTGCAACGCTTCTTGCTGTACGATAGAAGACTGCGGAGATTAACTCCTGGCACCTGTTACCTCATACGGCTCGCTTTCGATTTTTTACTAGGAACACATTGGCTTTCGTGCTTGTTCTACGGCGTGTCGTACCTGGTATACGATGAAGGAGAGCAATCCTGGCTCACTACCCCAGATATGCTGGCGTTCGGAGATCGAGTTCGCACTTTGGCTGACATTCGGGAACTTCCGCTTATCCAATCGTACCTGCGCACTTCTCACTTTAGCATCGGCGCCATTACGACAGTGTGCTATGGCGACATTGTGCCTATGAACGTCCATGAGACGTTAGTTACGATGGCTGTGATCTTTATCTCAGTTGGGATCTTCAGTATGCTCTCGGGTGGATTCTACAAATACTTCGACATGGAGCTGGGACGACGCGCCGAGTACGAGGGGAAAGTGGCTCAGGTTGGCCTCTACTTGCGCTTCCACCGTTTTCCTAGCGATACATGGCGACAGATGCAAGTTTACTTTGCTCTTTCGTGGCGAGAGAGTCGTGGGCGTCGAGAGCGAGAACTTCTACGAGGTTTACCCCCTTCGGTTCGGCATGACCTGGCTCAACATGTCCATGCTAGTCTACTGAAGAACGTCGCTCTCTTTACGCGTTGCGACCCCGCATTCGCTCGGGCGATCGTTGCCGCTCTGCAGCATGAGTTCTTTGTGCGGAACGACGTTATTATCCAGCGAGGTGACATGGAGCGAAGTTTGTATATCGTTGAGAGCGGTATGGTCCTCATTTCAGCTGTTCGGAAGCGTCAGATTCAGTCTGGAACGGATGGTTTCGTCGCAGCAGCAGCAGCACAAGATGAAGAGGAAGGCAACTTTGACGATGGTAACCACTCCCCTTTAGTTTCTGTTAATTAGTGGGTGCAAAAGAGTGTGCGTGCATCAGCGCGGATGCGTAAGAAGACCGCTGAACAACCAGCAAGGCAACGACAGAAGCGCTTGGTGGCGCACATGTCCCCACCGGAACAGTATCCGACATCAACAAGCAAACAGAACGCGAGGAGAAGATCTACAAAGGCCCCTTTGACTACTTTGGAGAGCGCTCGCTGCTTTTTGGAACCCCCCGTAACGCCACGTGCATGGCATTGTGTGTCACGAGTTTGTTCGTGCTCACGAGCCCGCGTTTTGAGGCGATTCTGGACGAATTCCCACACGAACGCAGCAACAGCGTTAGTGCTTGGGTCATGACTCGAGTTCCAGCAACAAAATTGAAAACAGCAGAGTAGAGAAGTGGTAAAAAAGAATACAAGACAAAATCAAAAGTTTCTTTTTCCTTACACTCCTGCCATTTATGAGCGTTCAACAGCACCATGGAAGGCATCTAAAAGACAAGGGCAGCGGCCATAGCCAGCACCGTCGACATGATCGCAGCCGACACGCCGTTCATGGCAGCACCGCTGGAGCTCGAGTTGCCGTCCTTGCCCGACGAAGTCGAGTCTTTGGTGGTGGAGCCGTCAGCAGAGGCGTCACCAGTACCGCCGTTCTCACCCACAGCCTTCTCCAGAGAGGGGAACTTCCAGTCACTGGGAGGCTTCTCACAGCCGTCCGAAGTCGAGTTGCAGACCGTGCACGTGGAGCCGAAGAGCTCACGCTTGCAGCCGGCGTCACTGCTGCACTTCTCGACGTTAAGGTAGCACGCCGGGTTCTCAGCCGCAAGCTCCTCCGGGGTGGGCAGAGGAAGCATGTGCTCGATGATGCTCGAGTCCAAGCCAGAGGTTTCAATGAGACCGTTCGTCAGATTGTAGTAAGCCTCGACAAGCTTCTTGGCACGCTCAGCATTGGCTTCCTCGTCCTGTGGGTTCTCCCAGAAGGAGATACCGTCGATCCACTCACCACTCTCAGTGGCCTCAAACTCCACACCGCCGTCCTCACAGAACTCGGTAAAGTTGGCGTACGTCTCACCCGTCGTGTTGCTCACCATCGACGTGATACCGACCAGGTCATCGATCAGGATGTAGCCCAGCACACGGTATGCGAATGTGCAGCTCACACCATCAGGCATGACGCCAATGTCACACAGACCCTGGCGGGTGCTCGCACGGCATTCGGACGTCTTGTCGCTCCACTCCTCAAGGGGGCACGAGTTCGGGAACGAGTACCAAACATTGTTCGGGTACGGGGCACGAGGGTCCGTCTCCTTGATGGTGCCACCCACGAAGGGGCCAACCTCCGGCTCGCCCTCGTCACCACTGAAGTAGTAACACGCAGTGGGGAATCCCTCACCACCGGACGACGTCGTAGAACTAGGTGTGCAGCGCCCCGAGTCCATTGCGAGCATGGTGCCGTACTCGGGCTGGTTTGACGTTTCCCCGTACAGCGCTAGTGTCTCGTTCGTCTGGGCGATTGCATATTCATAGAAGACAACGTAGGCCATCTCATTCTTACGCGTGCATCGCTCCTCAGTCGAGCGCGTGTCGTAGTTAATTCCTTCAGCCTGGACGTACATGAGAGCACCCTCCACAGACGCCGTGTTAACCGTGTCCATGAGGCCGACGTAGGCCTCGGTAGCGTCGTCATAGTAGGCCGACACGAAGCGCTGCAGCTCCTCATTCCACACAGGCATGTCGCTCTGCACGCGGGCCTGCACCACGTGGACAGGGGTCATGTGGTAAGAGTCCGAAGCGGCAGCTTCAGCGCCAGACGACGAGCCTGTGGACAGAGAGCTCATGAAGTCACTTGCGCCCGAGCCCGATGTCTTCGTGGTCGTCGAAGTCGTGGTGGACTTGGACGTCGAGGTGGACGCGCCCGAGGCGGACGTGGCGTCTGAGGCGGCGGTGACCGTGCCAGCGCTGGATTCGGTGGACGACTGGGCGCGGACAGCCACGGCGAAGACCGTCGTCAAAGCGAGAGTCGTGAATACCTTCATTCTTACTGGAGTGACTGTGTAATCTGCAAACTCGAACGCACGAGAAGGCAAATTGGGAATTGACGCTCGATGGAGGGGAGAGGAGAGGCCATGCACATCAATCGACAAGTCTCCACGAGCCAGTTCACGTGGTTCGGCTGGATTTTGAGGGCAGTGCAACGCGACAACTTTAGACCTCAACCTCTACGTACTGTACACTAGCCGAGTGCCGCCGCTACGCGGCAGGAAAGAATGAATGTCGTTCCTTGTGTTTTGCCTCCGTTTCGCTCGCTACGGCTCGCTTCACTACTCGCATGATAGGCTGGCAGATTGTGGCTCAGGCGGGCCCAAAGGCCCGCAGGGTTGCAGAAGGTGCCGATTTGGGCCGCCTCGCTGCGCTCGGCAGCTTTTAGGCCAATCGTGGCCACCTTCGCTGCGCTCGGCAGCCAGTAGGAATATTTAAATTATTTTATCCAATGATTTGTCCGGAAAAGCGTGACAGGCACGACAATTTAGTGTGACGGACAGACAGGTTGCTGCAGTAGATGTTTAAGACTAGCGGTCTGGGCGTCCGCTCCGCGGACGCTAGGGCATGGTTTTTTGGTGTAAAGAGGAACGACCACCTCCGCTGCGCTGCGGTGGGCTTAGAGTTTCTACTTAGAGCGAAGCTACATATAATATTTGTATACTGTGATCTACTTATGATACGCTCCAAAACAACACCGTACACAATATCCTTAGTGTTCTCATGTTATACCTCACTGTCCGCCTCTGGAGCGTGTACTGCTATCATTTCTTAAAGTCACTTTTTGAAAACATCACATATAAGTATGTAGGCGTGACAGCTGGATGTTACAGATAGATACCCGCGTGATAGATCTAGATCGAATGCGTATTGTTGATCGTCATAGTAATGGTAGACATGACCTGGGTTTAACGTGATCCGCAATACGTGCACCATCTTATCCTAGAAGGATTTGTCTATAATCTCATTGGAGCGCATAGCTCCCAAAATGACACCAATCGGGGGCGCGCGAGTTTGCAAATGTAATATATGCTGTTCAGAAGACGGGTCAGTTTCAATGATGCTTCGAAATTGGCATACATCGTTGAGGAATTCAAGTGTAGCTGGAGTAAATATCCTACTCAAACACATTACCCATCTGCACGCCATCGTCGTGAGGCAGTCGACACCTTATCATTGCTTGCGACGATCTATTAGAGCAAGGTTTAGTCAGCTCCACGCGCAATATATCTTTTAGGATAGGTAGTATTTGCCGATGGTCGCCACAAACACAAACATTTTGCTTTGGAAATTATTATTCCGCTGAGCTGTTTGTGATATTACTGAAGGGTCTTTCCACTATCTTTCGCATGCTTTGATCTTACTCGCATAGTTGACGCACTTACTGACTTATTTGCATAGCCACTGACTGACAGAGTGGCGTAGATTCTTTCCGAGTGGCATTTACTGGGTCCGATATGTACGACAAACATACGAAGATATATGACTGTAGGCAGAGTATCAGATCGCAATGATGGTTAGAATTGAAATGAATAATAGTTCATGTACATTAGAAGGAGTACTTTCGCTGCCTACTTATCAGCTCGGCGTGCTAATTGTTTTGTTCGTGCATAAATCGCAAGGCGGTTAATGAGTGTATATGCCTCACGCTCGTGACAGCCCAACCTATGTATATGGGGTCACGGTTTCTTTATCGGTACTTGTGCGTCGTCGTGCTAGCTTTCTGTGCTTACGCGGTTGATGTATCAGTCTGTATAATCAAGCGCGTCACTAACTGGGCACAGGCCATTCTGCAGCGATACAGGCATGCTGACCGCGCGTCTGTTAGCAATAGCCAACGCGATATATACGTGCGCGGCGGGTACACCTTCTGTTAGCAATAGCCAACGCGATAAATTCGCGCGCGACGGGTACACCGTGTCCGCGACACAACCGAGCTCTCATCTCGGTCATTATGGACAGGACACTAAAGTACAATACTGCGTTCAGACACATTAACTTGCCACGTCCATCTGTACGGTCTTCACTGTCACGCAGTGGTAGTATCTATGCAAACAGCAGCTTATTCGTCGCACGTAGCTCTCACTCAATGCTGTAGTTTAAATTTGTGAGAATTTACGCTATAGACGCTGATGGTACAGATATCATGGTTTTGCGTGTGTCCACGTGGCCGAGTGTACGTGCCATATACGGTGACGCGTATGCGGATAGGAACGACCAACTTGCAGCAGAACACAGTTGATTCCATGCGCTCATATTTTATGAAGCGCGCCACGCTATGTAGGTGCGTCGGCACTATAGTCAGCTTACCGCTCCAAGCCTCGCACCGTCAGCCAGTACACTAAATACAAAGATAGGACGGAAAATGGGGGCCTAAAAGGGTATATTTACCATTAGTTGCTCTTCTGCTGCTTCTTTTGCTCGATGTACTTGGCGTTTCGGGCGGTCAGCTTGCGAGGGCGGCTGCGCCTCTTTTTCTTCTTGGGGTACCAATTAGGACCCATCGCCTTCTTGACGTTCGCCAGGCTTTCCTGACGGCGCACTTCGGCCGAATCAGGTGGTGGACGCTTTTCCTCCCAAAACTCAACCGCGTTTGGGCCGTTCTCGCAGGCAATACAGCGCCGCACGATGTCCCGCCCGCTGATTGTACGGAATGGGTAGCCGTACTGCAGCTTCTTGCAGCAGACGCAGCGCGCTCGGGGGTCCGTCGTAGACCGCTGCGGGTTCAGCAGAAGCGGGTCAATCTTCGCCTCGCATCGCTTGCACGTAGGGCCCATTATTTTGCAAACTGTGAGTAAGTAAGCAACATATATTATTTTAACCAATTACTTGCGTCCAAATATTAGCCAATAGCACGGTAATGTAACGCGGATATTTATTATTTAAAAGAATATTTTGCTTTAATACTATAAAAATATTAAAAGGTTGGTATTTAATATTTTGCTTTAATACTGTCAGATATTTAAACAAATGCATATTTTACATGCAATAAAAGTGACTAAAAACACTATGCAGCGTGCGCGCATGCATTCGTCGATGCGGTACACGGAAGCAGTTAGCGCAATGGCCATGCCGCCGTACGCCTTCTTGCACGCTGACAGTGGAGAGTGCCAGAAGAAGTAAAAAATAATGTTTGCAAAGTCCTTACAAAAAGCGGTGGTTAGCGTGCCCGATTTGATGCACATAGAACAGGTTTTGCGTAGCTAAATGTAAATAATCAATCATCAACGCAGCTCGCCAGGCTGTTTGCATCCAATCAATGTGTTTCGTACTCGGCAGAAATGTTTACCTCACGTCCAATCGCGAGGGAGAGAGGCGGTCTGATCGTGCAACAGATCCAGTCAGTGTCGCAGGTCGGCTGGTATTGCCCAATCAGGGCGCGAGTTAATTGCGTCATGCTTTTGGATATATTTGTAATTTTGGCATAGTTAAGTCGAGTCAGAAAGGTAGGCGCGGTCGGTAAGATGGGACGAAAATATATTAGACAGGCCGGGTGTAGCCATGCGAAAAGGCAGGAAAAAGCAGCAAGAAAGGAACCGGACGGACTTATTGACAGACGGACGGACAGGCTGCAAGTTTAGGTGGCGGGAAATGTAGTACATACATAATACAGGTACAGTATTATTTATAATACCGGTACATCGCACAAATATTAAAATACGTGCAACATTGAAAGGCAACCCGCCTCTCTTGAGACGGGAAACAAAGAGCTCGCAGCACCGCAATGGCGATAGCAATGGAAACGTGGGTGCAAAATTGGCAAGGAAGTTGCCAAGCGAAGGCTTTCGGAGTGATACTTCTATCAAGTTGTTTTAAGCCATTATTTCGCTCTTCGGCAGGCTACTGTTCAAAAACAGTTGAAACTCAGCGCCGCCATCGGCACTCCTCCGCAGTTATAAAAAAATCTTCGCATAGCGCAGCGTTCGATAAAGTGCCGCCCACTCATTACCGATGCAAGATTGAGAGTCTGTCGCTCCTGGACAAGTGTCGTATGGTTAAAGCTTAGAGAGAAAACGAAAGGCTCCATTGTTTCCAAAAAGGTCGTTTTCGAGGTTTATGTATATTTTACTATTTTAATAATAATGCTATTATTAAAATACATGTTTATTTTTTAATTAAAATACCCCAGAGCGATTAAACAGTCAAGGAAGCGTGCGATTGTGTGGGTACGTACTACATGTATATGGACTGCGCCGGATGTAGACTGGCATCCAAAGCCGACATATTCGACTGTGTTGGGTCGCCAAAGTTCACTTGATTGCTTGACTCACTTTGGACGCAAGGATAGCGTTGCCGCTGATGGTGTTGGCTAGGGAGCGCCGAAAGCGATCCATTTGCGTAGCTTGTCCAAAGTCGCCACGCTGGACGCGGCTGAACCGTTTGTAAAATACTAAGTATTACATGTAGCTATACATGTACTACTTCAAGGATATCAAAATATTACTTCAATTATCTGGATTTTATTATATCCAGAGTATTTAGGCCCTGGTCTAAGCATAAATTCTTAAATTCGTTCTGAGAAATCAGGTGTACTGATTGGCTAAAATAGAGCTGCCGCTCAGTGTTCTCAATAGTAACCCCAGAACGCCTGGCAGAGGTGTTCTGAAGTGAGAACAAATTGCAGTCTATAGCATCACTGATCAGTCTTCATATCACACTCCATTTCGCGTATTACTGTAAAACCAACGAAGTAGCCATGGTGACCAAGACTTTTGTGCGTCATGCAGTGTATGTGGGCGACCTTTGCAGCCCTCTCCAGTTATCGTCGTCGATTTGGTGGGTTTACTCGAGAAAATGTGAACACTTTCGCGTCGAGTGCGTTCAACAAAGCTTTAGCCAGTCGAAGAACGAAATGGTTCCACAGGAAGATGCGTTGTGCGGCGACGTAGAATGCTGACTTTTGCGGTGAATGTCGTGTTTTATGATGCATCGGGCCGAGTATCTTTTTTTTTCAACTGCAAACCTTGACACTTCTCACTGGTACGTGCGAGCGCAG